ATCCAGCAGCTTAAAATACTCAACATGGTCATTTATACACTTACTTATTTACTATCATTACATCGTTATGAAAACACAACAACAGGTACTGGTCGTGATATGAACAACATCAGGTTAAGGTTATGGACAAGTTAAAATTCAACAACAACAACTCAAACTTATTTGATAATGTCCGAATAAATAGGACGCAATATTAGAATCGAACAAAAAACAAAAACATAATAAAAGAAAGAAATTATTCTTGATTTTATAATTTTTTATATTTTGCTGCAATTATTAGATTTTATTTTATTATTAGACTAAATGCTCATGTTATTCAATTTATTAAAATAATTTACTTTATCATCTTCATCTATGCCGACTAATTCAGGAAGTGATGAAGTGTTGATATTAAATATATAAGTCCACCATGTAGAATCTTCAGTTCCATTAAAGCAAGATTCTGATCTTGTGATTCGTTGATCAAACGATGCTAATGTTTCATCTATTCCCGTACTAAATATATCGAGACGTGGACCTAAATAATAAAAGCTGTCAGCATAATTTCGATGTGATTAAAATGTGAAACACGATGAAGCTTATTGTATTCTTAATGAAGGGATACAACAACATACAGTAGAGTGCAAAAATTCTTGCCGCTTATGTAAGCTATCGTTTCGAAAGTATACTTTTAGAAGTATTTGAAAGGTTGTTTTGAGAATTTTATAGAAAGTAACAGGAAGTCAATCTATAGTTGTAGAAAATATGCTTCGACAACAAAATCCTACTTAGTTATTACCGTTGTGCTATTTCCAGTCAAGTGAATAAAGTCGACGCCAAATGCAATGGGTATCGCGATGATGGAATCCATCATGGATTTATTAATGTTAGATATCTGTAGGATTTGGTCAGATTCCGATGGGATTCTAACAGAATTTGATGAGATTGGACTATCCGATCGATTATTCTGGACATTAGAAATAAGAAATTATTCAAAAATTCACGCGATCCATATTTTATCAGCCTTGCCTCTGATGAAATGTGATAGTTTAAACAAACTATTTCACTTCTTAACTAAGTAAACCTTTCTCTCCGTAATAGAAGCTTTCGGAGTTTCTCAACTGAACAAGAGTTCAAAGTTTTTATGAAAGCTTCTATCAAGTTCCAAAATTTTTCAAGGATTGTAAGTGCAGAAATTATTCAAAAGGCTTAAGGGATTTTTCAGAATTTCTAAGACTTGTTCCATGAGTTTTCCAAGGGATTTTGAGGTTTCTTTTTGTCGTAAATAAGAGTAAAAGGAATTTTTATCTTAAAGTCTTGGGATTTGGACAATTTTTCTACGAAAATACTAATAAAAGTTTTCAGAACCTTCTTTTAAATGAGAAGGCCTTCTAAGATGTCTCGCATATTGACTCCACCAGAGGAGATTTTTAATAGAAGAAGAGCTTCTATTACAGTAGGAGCTTACTGATAGATCGAAATCTCTTTTCTTACGAAAAATATTTTTCGTTAAATATAACAATATTCATGAAACTTTTCTTAGCAATAGAATTTCTTCGTGATGTCCACAAAGGTATTTAAGAGATATAGACTATCCTAATATTCCATAATAGGGACGCACCAAGTCTCATTCTAGTCAGGTTCGAATCCTATTCTTGGCTTGGGATCGATCGAAATTGACTGGAATCTGGTATCGGAATTGTATGAAACTGACCTAGAACTAATGTAGAATTAATTTGAAATTAAAATTTTAGTCATGCACTCAGACTTCTGAATCAATAGATATTAATAGATTTGCACAAAATGTCACTGACTAATTTAAACCTATAAAAAAAAGTTAATTGACTAATTAAAAATTTTAATTCCAAACTAATTCTAGATCAGTTCCTGTTCCGATTTCGATTCCAAGCAATTTCAATCGATTCTAAGCCAAGAATCAAAATCGCAGCTGACTATATGAAAATAGTAGAATGTTCTTTAATATTTTATAGCTGTTCGATTTTGGTTGCTAAGACTTTTCAGTGTTGATGTTTCGATAGTTTCTCAGTGTTCATCAACATCTGATACAAGAAGTTCAAATAGTTTCAACAGATGGCATTGGTGACGTTGTTGTCTTTGCCATCACTTGATCAAGAATTCATCAAAATTAAAGAAAAAGAATCTGAAAAATATAGTCATGAAAAATAAATTCTAACCGAATAATATTCATTGAAAATTAAAATATAAATTATTCTATTGATCCACGAATAATGATGAATCATCACCACTGGATACTCTGTTACTTGTTCCTTGTTTTGTTTAAAAGTTTCAAAATAATCAATTCCTTAGCAATGGTTCTCAAATGGTTAGTTGCCGTTGGCATCGTTATTGCAATTATTCCTTTAGGTATTCATCAAATTCCTGAAGGACATGTTGGAATATATTACAGGTAAATAAAATTAAATATTTCCCAGAGGGTTAAAAAGCTAAAAAAATAGCGTTAAAACGATGTTATGGACAACAAAATTGATCTATTTCAAATTCATTGATTAAAAATGAAATTCACTGCATTTACTTAATTACAATGTCACGATTCATCATCGGAAATGCAATGTTTTTCGTGTTTTTTGGATAAAAAAAATTCACGAAAGTCATGAAATTTTTGTGACTCACTCCATTGGTTTTTATTCTAGAGGAGGTGCTCTTCTCACATCAATGACTGCACCAGGTTATCATGTTATGGCACCTTTTCTTACAACAGTAAAAGTTGTTCAAACAACTTTACAAACTGATGAAGGTAATGTGTTTTTTTTTCAAAGAGAATTTCAATGAATTTTTCTTTAGTGAAAAACATACCTTGTGGAACAAGTGGTGGAACAATGATTTATTTTGATAAAATTGAAGTTGTTAATATTTTAAATCGTGATGCTGTTATTGATATTGTACGAAATTATACCGTTAATTATGATCGAACATTAATATTTGATAAAATTCATCATGAAGTTAATCAATTTTGTTCAGTACATTCACTTCAAGAAGTTTATATTGATTTATTTTCCAGTATTGATGATCATCTTAAACGTACAATACAAAATGATTTAAATATTTTAGCACCTGGACTTTATATTAGTTCAGTTCGAGGTAAATCATATGTATATAAATAATGAAATTAAAAATATTTTAATTTAAAGTTACAAAACCAAAAATTCCCGAAGCTATTCGTCGAAACTATGAAACAATGGAACAAGAAAAAACACAGTAAGATATTTCAGTTTTTTCTTAAGTTAATTATTATTGTAAAATAGTTACATAAAACAGCGAAGATTATAAAGTTACAAAAATTTGTCCATAGAACTTTTTCCATCCGAATCCTTACTATCTTATATCAAATGAAAGATCATCTTAAGATAGTCATCTTTGATAACGAAAACTTATTATTTGATATAGTACTCTTATTCATGAAAAGAGAATGAGAGAAAAAGATTTTTTCACGTCAACTAGTAGGTCATATGGAAAAAAATCTCGAAAACCTATCATTGTACTGTTAGACACATTCAGTATACATCTTCGATGGTAAGAGTAAAGATCAGAAGATTTTTTACTATGAGGAGCTCTGTACATTAGGGACCACGATACTCATAATGAAGAAACCTAACACCAAAATCACGTTCAGCATAAAAAACTGAGTCGATCTATGCATATTTTAAATTCGCACGGTCATTTTTATTTTCATCAAAAAATTCGGTCCGAGCCTTCAGTGATATGTTAAAAATGAGTTCATCGAAAATCTAATTTTGATTATTTAGACATATTTCCTTATGAGCTCAATGATGATATTTTTTTGACATACCCCTAAGGGGGCCCTAGCCGAATTTTTCTACGAAAATAAAAGTAGCCGTATAAATTTGAAATATGCATAGTTCGACTTTTAGGGCAGTCTGTGACTCTTTTTTCCTTCATTCTCTTTTAATGAATAAGAGCGTCATGGAAGTAATTTAGATCTTCAAAACACGATATATTGACATTATTCAAACTTTTTATTACTCATTGAAAAATAATAAGTTTCCGTTAAAAAAGATGCTTATCTCAACGTGATCTTTCATTTGATATAAGGTAGTAAGTATTCCAGCGGAAAAAGTCTTATGGACTGATTTATGATCTTCTAATCTTATCTTGTTTAAAATAGATATATGATAACAACTGCTCATCAACAAGTTGTTGAAAAAGAAGCAGAAACCGATCGTCGTCGTGCAGTTATTGAAGCTGAAAAATTAGCACAAGTAGCTAAAATTCAATATGAACAAAAAATTTCAGGCAAAGAAGCTGAAAAACGTATTGCTGAAATTGAAGCTGAAATGCATTTAGCTAAAGAACGTTCATTAGCTGACGCAAATAAATATAAAACTGATACAGAAGCTGAATCAAATAAAAGAAAATTAACACCAGAATATCTTCAATGGTCAATGTATCAAGCATTAGCACACAATACAAAAATTTATTTTGGTAATTCAATTCCAAATATATTTACAACAGACATAAACATAGATGATCAATCAAAACAAACAAAATAAACTTTAAATACTATGATGATAAGAAACCATTATTTGTTCTATTTAAATGGTGATATATTTTTTCTTTTATGTTCTTTTCTTTTTATTGAGTGAGCTTCGTTTGAAACTAAAATAAGCAACTTGTAACATGTTTCAGTTCTTTTTTTTTTGTTTTGTTCTCTAGATGTAATTGACGTATTGAAAGAATTCATAGGTAGGTTTGAATTCTTTTCTTTTTCAACATGATAAAACTCTTTATCACGCTATTATTGTTCCCTAAAGAAATTAAACATATATAGAGAAAATTTGTTTTATATTGTTTATCCTCGGGTATACGTCAATAAGTGATAAGTGAATATTTTATCGATAATATGAAATATGATTTGAAAGAGTTAGTATGGTAAGACAATCGACCTTTGAATTAGAAGATCTATAACAAGCTTCTGTTTTCATACACCGGTACACGATCAATGATCAATTGTTTGTTTCACCATTACGCAGCAGTATTGATCTGTTATCATATCAAATTTCTATTTCGTTTTATTTTTCTCTCTACGGAATTTTTAGCAAATTGATTGTTTTAATGATGAAAGAAAAGAGAAAAAAATAGTTCGTATTGACTGACCATGTAATCACAAATATAAGAATATATATACATATGTGCTCGTCGAAATTTGAAATTTAAATAATAAAAAAACATGGAACGAAGACGTTTACAACAACAAAGAATGAAAGAACAACAACGTTTTTGTGTTAGTCAACAAGATTTAAGTGAAACAATAGCTCGTATGAAAACAAAACGACGTGCAACATATAATAATTTAATGAATATTTCATCATCATCATCATCATCATCAATATTATCATGTTCAATAGATACATTGACTATTCCATCCGTTTCACAAATCATTCAAGAATTTGAAACACGATCTATATCAACACCTTATGTAAGCGCTCAAGATTTTATACCAATTGATAATGATGTTGTTTCTAACGGAGCAGATTTTAATTGTTTTCAGCAAATGCCCGCTCAAAAAATAAAAATCAAGGCCAATAATAACGACGACAATAATATTTCTTCATCAATTTCTTGTCTCGATAACGATCAAATACTTAGAGAAAAAATACATCAAGATCAATTCATCGGAGATAAAGAACAGCAAACAATAAAGAAAGAACAAATAGATCAAGCATTGAATAACGATCGTTACAAACGAGAACTACCGTCATCATCATCATCATCATCATATTACAGTATTGACAGTAATAATAATAATACAACACAAATGGTAACACGAAATACAAATCTTAATTCACTTATATCAAAACGACATGATAAACGTTTTGGAGAAATACTTGCAAAAGAAGCACAACTTAATAATGCTCTTGCAGATTTAATTTCATTATCTAATGATGCTGATATATCTTCATCAATATCTTCATCATCACGTTCATTAACTAATATTTCTCAACGTCGACGAGCATCAAGTACTAATGATAATACCAATAGTATATCAGCAAGCATTGCTTTATTAAATAATTTACTCGAAACATTTGATCTGGATAATGAAGATCTTAAGAAAAAAGACAATAAGAAAAATATTAATGATCGAAATAGTCAAAAAAATGATAACAATAATATTAAACCGATCAACATGTTTTGGTAGTAAAACATAGAAAGAGAAAAACAAAACTTTTTTTTAATTAGATTTTAACTTTTATTTTTTTATTTTTGTTTGGTTTAGTCTTATCATGTCAGATAATGTATGCGCTAATTGTCATCAATCGTTTGCTACTAATGAACAAATTGTTAATGCTGCTGGACAAATTTGGCATACACAATGTTTCGTGTTAGTTTCTATGATGTTTTTCTTCTTATCTTGAAAATGTTAAGGAAATTTATTTTCGAACAAAAAATTCCTTTGTTTTAGTTTTATCTGAAATTTGAGAAGGAATAACTTGATGTCAATATGTACTAAAAAATTTTTGATGAGCAAAACTTTCTATATGAGTTTTAATATCTTTTTTTTTTTATTTCAATTCTAGGTGTGCTCAATGTTTTCAACCATTTGAAAATGGAATTTATTTTGAAGTAAATAAACAAATATTTTATTTTTCTTTGATAGAATTTTCTTTTGTTTTTTTTTTGCATTTCAAAGCATGAAGGTCGAAAATATTGTGAACGCGATTTTCAAATGTTATTTGCACCATGTTGTGCAGAATGTAGTAAGTGTTTTCAGTTAATTCTTTTTTCTAATTAGGATTTTTTTCTAAAATTTAGAACAAGCTATTGTTGGTCGAATTATTCGAGCACTTCAAAAATGTTTTCATCCAGATTGTTTTCGTTGTCAATTATGTCATATATCATTACTTGAAATCGGCTTCTCAAAAAATAATGGAAGGTTTATAGTTTTTTTTTTTTTATTGAGTAATATTATGTTAAAAACAAAAGTTTGTAGAGCTTTATGTCGAGAATGTTATACAAAAGAAAAATCAAAAGATTCAATTGTATCCCAACATATTTGTTCAACATGCCAGTAAGTCATATAAAAAATATAAGACATTCACGGTCGATGTGACCCATCGAACATTTTAGTAAAAATAATTTTTTTTTATCTGACCAATAGAGATGTAAGCTGATCGGCTGAGCCGCCGTCGCGACACAAAAAAAAGATACTAGATTTTAAAAAATTTTCGATATCCCAAGTCAACTTTTGAAGAGGATGTGGGTGTGAATAAAGAAAAGACCTAGATCCACAGTCACTCCCTTCACACCCACAAGCAACGATCCTGCTCCAAAATCATGAGTCATATTTCTCAATGGACTTCCATTTGAATCCTTGCATTTGAGTCGCACTTCTAGAAAAAACGTTTTTAGCTACCCTGCAGAATCCAATTACTTTCAAAGTGTTAAACAAAAATGTTGTTTTCTCTAGTCAAATAATTGACAATAAATATATCAAATACAAAGATGAATGTTATCATGCTTATCATTTTCAATGTTCATCTTGTCGGTTAGTCAAACCATTTTGTTTTTCTTTTGTTCTTAAATGTTAAAAATGCCATATACTTTATAGAATTGAATTAGATGAGAATGCTCGAGAGGCACGTGGTTTATTGTATTGTCAATCGTGTTATAATAAACTTGATTTACCTGTATGTGCTGCTTGTCGACGTTTAATTGATGATCGAGTTGTTAGTGCTTTGGGAAAACAATGGCATGTTGAGGTTTGAATTATATAGTGATTGATGAGTTTCTTTTATTTTCTTTCTTTTTTTAGCATTTTTGTTGTGCACGTTGTGCTCAACCATTTCATGGTAGTAAACACTATGAAAATAATGGCTTAGCATATTGTGAAATGGATTATCATATTCTATTTGGTTCAACATGTTTTATTTGTAATAGAATAATTACAGAAGGAGGTAAACTTATTTTATTGTATGAAATAAATAATGGACAAGAATGTGAAAATTGTTCGGAAAAAAAGGTTTTTTTTTTCAATGTTTAAAAATTCTCCAAATCAAATCGATCTATTACGTTGATGAAATATTGAAAATAATGACATGACTCGTACACAACTGAGGCGTCGATATGTTTTTAAATGATGTGTGTGTATTGGTTATTCTAAGCAACGAGAAAAGGGTTCGTTCTCATGAACTTCAGGTACCAAACTATGATCAATGAACTGGATTTTCGACCCATTTTTAGGTATTTCCCGAAAAAAAACAAAATAAGAAAGTTTTGATCCAAAAATTTTATTCTATAGATATGTATATTGACTCTTGCAATCTAAAATATTAGCACTGATACTATGCTCGAAAGAAAACACGTATTATCTAATCAAATATATATTTGCAGTAGATTCATTGCACTAAAATACTGTTCGCCTAGCTGGATAATGCTATATTCGAGTTTGAACAAACCTTAGAGGCGTAATTCAAATGAGATTGAGCCTAATACTGCTGAAGTTCTTGAAAGTTTCTTATTTTCATGTTCTTCCAATAAATATTGATATTGATCCATTATAGGAAGATAATTTTACAGTTCTCTCAATATCATTTCTCGTTTTTCAAAAAGAAAAATCTTGTTATGATTTTGTTTGTTTTTTCTAGCTTACACAGCATGTAACAAAAAATATTGTGCTGATCATTTTGCTTGTTCAAAATGTGAAACGAAAATGAATGAAAAAAGTAAATTTTTTGATGTTGATGCAACACCTGTTTGTAAGCAATGCTATGGTAGATTACCATCAGATACTCGAAAATCTCTTCAACAAAATCAGAAACGGAAATCATTATCATCTATTTGCAAACAAAGTACTGTTTAAAAAGAAAGAAAATTATTGTCAGATATTTTTAGTTTCTTCTACAATTAAAATGAAAGTAAAAAGTTTAGAAATCCAATATGTTTTTGATTTTTTTCGTTAACGATAACAGTTAAAACAAATTGAAGAAAAGATTTAATTAAAGGAAACAATTTCGTCTAATATTAAAAAACACAATATTTCTGAACAAAATAAAAGATTTACGAGGTATCTTCAACGAACGACAATCATTATGTAATTTGCGTAAAAGTTTGTTTTCTATTGTTTCTATTACTGTTAAGGAAGAAAGTCAAAAATACTGCATTTCTAAACTTTTTGCTTCTACTTTATATGAAGTTTAATATAAACAATATTTTAAAATATGTTTTGTGTTCCTTTTGTTTATTTTTTTTTGCATTATTCATTGGTCTAAAAAAAAGAAAGAAAAGTTCTCTATCATATAATAAATTTTATTCATTGATATTATGTATATTTATCGAAAACTATTTTGAATTAAAAATTAAAACTCCATTATGAGATAATGAGAATACATAATAAGACATGTTCGATTGTGTTGTGCGCTTTTTACACTAATTAAAAAAGAAGACAGAAAGAAAGTTCGAAAAGCACTGGCATACACGATTACATCATCAAAAATATCTTCATCTTGTGCAACGGTTTCAACATTAACAAGTAATAGTTTTGATGAAATTGAAAATCAATCAACTAGTTCGATGACTACAACATCATCTAGTCGTCGTATAAGTGGACGAGGTGAATCAAGCACTATTCCAACACCACGAATTCATTCATCTATTGATACAAGTCCTAAAACATCGAATCTATTAAATAATTCAACTTCAAATACACGACGATCAAGAAAATCAATTGACAATAAAATTCTTTGTAAGCTTAAAAGTATCATAACCAATAAAGTTCCCATATCAAATGCATTATGTAATCACTGCAAAAAGTATTATTCGTATGCGTACAAGTCTTTTTTGTATTTTTTGATTTGCGGAGCAAAAGTAAGAAATGAAAATTTTCTTTCTTGATACACAATAGATGGTTCTTGCTCTATACTATGTTTACTATCAAGATTTCATAATTCGACTATATGTGAAAAATTTGTTCAGTCTCAGAAGACACTGACTGAGTTCGTTCTTAATAGTACCATTTGAAAGAGTCACAAAGTTATAAACATCACAAAAAATGCATTTTCGATGAGTTTAAAAATTTTTCTTTTTTTTTTCCATGGTTTTTTATGGTTGCAGCTTTTTGAAAGAAAGTCATAAATAATCTCGACGACCCTTCATATTCTTCAGAATTTTATGCTCAACTTTATTGGCTTATCCGAATCACTATTTCAATTTGATTTAGCTATTCGACATCATAGAAAAAATTCCAAACTGCATTGTTCTTATAATTTGTTAGCATTAATTTATATTCATAAAATAAATTATTTTAGATCCAAATAACATCATTCTTGAGCCTCAATCAAATAACAAAAATATTAATTATTATATTCCACCTATATCTGATATATCACTTAATGAATCTGAACAAAAAATTAAAACAAAATATACTGAATTATTAATAAATTTTTTTGAAACTCATCAACCATCATATATATTTGAACCACTTCGAAAAGAATATTATTGGACCAATGAACCATTTAATGAAGATAAAACTACTCGACTTGATAAGTATGTTTTAAGTTTATTAAAAACAAATGAAATTTCTGTTTTTCCTTTTTTTTTTTAATATGAGCAGACTTCTTCATAGTACATCTTATTTTGTTCAAAGTATCTTTTGGTATTTACGTATACTATTAGCAATATGTGTTACAATACCAATTGAAATTATTCATACTATACTTGCTGGTTTAATTAAACCAATTCTTATACGTGTACCAATCATTATTTCTGATACTTTAATTAAACCATTTTATTCAGGTCTTTTTAATTCTTTTATGTATGTTTTTCGTTATGAGTTTTTTTCTTTTGAAAAAAAAAATATATAAGAATTTTTGATTCTTTTTTAGTTTACCAATTGGTATTCTTCTATGGAATACAAGTGATCTTTTTGCTAAAACATTTGAACCATTCATTCATCTTTTTACTCTTTTATTTGAACCATGTATTGATTGTTTTCGATCTATTCGACTATCATCACTAAAACAAAACAATGAACAACAATTAGATAATGGTGATGGCTATCATCATATAGGACAGAAAAAATCAACATTATGTGTTTAAAATTTTGTTGTATATTAATTAAAAAAAATATATATATATATGATTGAATAGCAATTTTGTTTTGTACGAATGAGATTTTCGCTGTATTTAGCTAAATGCTTCTGTTCTTATCGATCGATTCGAGGTGTGAGAGAGGAGTGAAAGGAGCAAATATACCTGTGCCCACACCCACCCTCTCATTAACTTCTCAGTAATCTAAGTACTGATCGAACAATTGATAGAAATTTTGGACTGAGCTGAAATTCTTACTTTTCAGTGATTGTGGATTAAAAATCAGTTTCACATGTAAAGTTTCCGTAAACTATAATCGATTTTTCCATTGAAATAATGTTCTTCATGTTATGGTTACATTGAAGTAAGGCTTATCTCTGCTAATATGTAGTAACATGAGACATAGAACATAATAAGATGTTCTATATAGAAATTAATTAAATCTACTTTCAATTTTTAGTATCAATTATAATGAAAAGTTTGCAATTCACTCTTATATATTTCTTAACTAATTTTGTGTTGTTTATCTACAAGGTTGTTTCTTTCTATTGTTACAAAGTTTGTTTGTACATACATTCAATCTGTCGTTGTTGTCAAGTAAATGGTATTAGTAAGAAACAAAAAAAGATTGACAACTTGTTTGTGTGCATTTTTAAATAAAAGAACGAAAGATATGTCAAAAAATGACGATAGTACCGTACAAGAATCATTTAAAAAAGTAAAACAAAAAAATCAAATCTTCATTGATATGTTTAGTTTTATTGTTCATTTTAGAAACCAATTCTTCTTCCACGAGGTCAAGTCAAAGAGCGTTTTGTTATAATTAATCATGATTGGTTTATACCCGTATCATATCTACGACGGTTAACTTCTAATACTGTAGAAAATGAACTTGAAAGTATTGTATTTCCTTATGATGAATCATATGATTCAGATTGGCAATTATATATTGAACATCAATCACATCCATCACGTATACGAATTGGTCTTACACTATTAGAACCACATGATAGATGTATTCATGCTGATATTAAATTAGTATTTATGACAACGCATGGTGATCAAATAATAAAAGAAAATTTTTTTCATAAACATACATTTTTTCTTGCAAAAGGCGAACCTATTACATCATATATTAATGAACATATATCACCAAAAGTTTTTTTTGATATTGAAGATGATCTTTATGATAATGTAATTAATGGTACATTAAATGGAAATTTATTCAATACAAACGATTGTACAATAATTGCTTATGTTAGATTTATTAATGAATTTGACATTGAACCTAAACCAAACGCATTTGATTTTTCACGGCGTTTTACTGTTGATTGGAAATTAATAAAATTTCGTCATATTATTGAACAAATTAATCAATCGAGACCACCAGGTAAAATCATTCATATTAAATTTCATTACACAAAAATATTATCTTTGCATTACAGATGTCTATTTCTATTATATCCGAACTTCATAGAATTTAATGACGAGGTCCAAATATATCTAGGCCAAAGCATTGTTTTTCACGAATAGAACCCGATCAGATCGAGGTCTGAAATTTATTTGTTAACCAGATCCGGATTCAAAAATTTTGGATCTAACGAACTTTAATTGAGTGAAATATAAAAGTAGCGAGCTATCCCTCTTTCATTTTCTATTAGAAATTAAAAAACCAATAACAAGTATTAGAAAAAAAAAGTTAACAAAAAGAACAAGAAACACTATAGCAATCATTCCATATTTTGTCTATATGTTATGATTCTACAATGATTATTCGAATGCTTCAAATACAAACAACGTGTCAGAAGGTCTGAAACGATTTTAAAATTCATTGTTCTCGAATTCAGCAAATACAAACTCTTTGCAACTGTGATAGACTATTCTACCTACTTAGTACTAAAGAACTATGACGTTTCAAATCTATAGCTTTGACTATTGATGAAAACCTGTAACGATATTATGATGCACTATCCCTGCAATTTCAATCTGAAGAAATCGCTAGTATATCGGCGGTAATTTGGTACTTAAACGAGCAACTATGTTCTTACCAACCATTCTACTGTAGTATACAAATAGATGCCCTCCGACCAGAAATGTACGAGCAGTAGTGTAAATACATGTGCGACATAAATTATTTTATCAATTTTCTCATAAGTTAAATTGATAAATTTCCTAGAAAATATATTACTCTCATCGATAAATGATGAGAATTCATAAGATCAAAGTTGATAATCATCGTAAGAAAATATAGACAAAATTCACTCGAACTCTTGTAGTAGAAAAAGTGATCAACATCATAAACAATGAATGTAGATGACTTTGGATGTTTCTTTATATCAATGAATGATAGATAAAATACCAGCACGATAAAAAACTAGTAATCGATTACGATGATAATTAAATACACAAATATTGATAATTTGATTTATGTTTCTTTTTATTTCGAGATATGATTTTTGATTTTAAAAATATGAACAAAAATTATCAGTAAAATTGATATAATAGCATATGATAGTGTTGTTACATATAAACAATTTGCTTTTGCTAAATGCAAGAATGATAAATTTGTTAAATCGTTTTAAAAACTTCTCGAATATGTCTTATTAACTTCTTTTAGTCGGTAATAATCGTCGTCTTCTCTCGGATCGTTTTCAATTTACTCATTCTAAAATAACTGATGCTCTTGCAACTAAAAAATGGAAATTACAAATCAATTATTCTCGAACATCATCAATTAATAAACAAACTCCTTTGTGTTTAACCTTAAAATCTCTTAATCCTATTCAACCAAATTATGGTAAATTTGAAATTCTATGTCAAAATGAACATAATATTCTTCGACGTTATATTGAATCTATAGAAGATCTTACTGATAATTATACTATAGAATTTTTTACACTTAATGAATTATCAAGAAATATTTATCCATATAAACAAAATTTTGATAAAAATAATGGACGAGTTGTAACCATTGATTATCTTTTATTATCTATACAAATTGTTCAACCATTACAAGGTTTTGATATATTAAAAAAGATTAAACGTATTAATGAACCAATAATAATTTCTTTGAATCCCACAGGAAAAGTTCGTAATAAAAAAGAAGAAAATTTATTAAAATCAACTAAAGAACAACATAATAAATCTATAGCTATTGAACATAAAAAACTTAAAAGTCCAGCTAGTCAAGAAAATACTACAACAACATCGGATGATACACGAATAGTAAGATTTATTATGAGTTCATTAAGTGTACGAGACACGCAATAAAAAGAAAACTTTTCTTTTTTTTTTGCATTCAATACATTTTCTTTCAAAAATTAGTCAATACCAATTTCTTACTACTGTCATATACTTATGAGAGCAATCTTTTATTCTCTACAAAATAATACATTCGGGGCGAAATGGAGTTCATATCACTCTCTTACATAATGACTTTTGATGATTTTTCAATAGAAAACAAATATTTTTAGCGGTTTTCTTTATCATGACAGAATTACAAAGTAAAATAAACACGAAATTGGAAGTCATCGTTCAAAACTACATTGAATCAAACGCATTCTAGAGAAAGATTTTTCGTGTGAGAAACTAATCTCTACGGAATCACGGGATGAAGTATTAATGCAATACAGTCGTGAGAGATTACAGATGAGTCTTTCACAAAGGAAAAATTTCTCTAGAATGTGTTGGATTCAATGTAGTTTTGAACAATAATTCCGAATCTCGTGTTTAGTTTGCTTTATAATACTATCATGGCAATCAAGACAGATAAAAAATTTTTTTTTTTCTTCTTTTGAAAAATCATCAAAAACCATTAGATAAGAGAGGGATGTGAACTCCATTTCATCTTAAATGTATCATTTTGTAGAGAATAAAAAGTTTCATAACATATATCAAATTCAGTTTGAAATTCTCAAATTCTGAATCTCACTAGTAGAGTGTCTTGAATGTTAAAACTTTGAGATTGTTGGTTTGAGACATCGATGCATTGAACAGAAAAAAAATTTTAATCGAGTGTCTCGTATGTTAGATTTCATTAAATATTTTCTATTGAATTATTCTTTGAATTTTTATCTAGACAAATCATATTTTACCACCAATACGAATTCAAAATAATTCTCCAATTCGTCTTCGATCATCATCAAGTATACAAATATTACCAAATATAAGTGATAATCATATTCAATCATCACGTTCATTTCTATATAAACCCATACGACTAAATAAACAATCATCAACAATTACAAGTGCTAGTACAACAGCATTTTCAGATTTAACAGATAATTTTACGTTTCTTACAAATTTATTTCGATCAGGTCTTCATTCAGATATAACAATTCGTCATCATGATCATCAATGGAATTTACATAAAAGTATTCTATCAGCACGTTCAATTTATTTTAATCAATATTTTTCAAATTCAAATGTATTAGAATTAAATTTATCCGATGATAATGAAATATTATCATCAATTTTACTTGATAAAATGTTTTTTTTTCTTTATACTAATCAATATACATTAGAAAAACTTCCTCGACTATCATTATTTGAAACAACTCGTTTATTATTTGAATTATCAAATAAATATGGTATTGATACATTGACACGTTTTTGTTTACAAGATATGTGTAATACACATAATTTAAATATAAATACGGCTGCATATCTATTAATTGCACTTCATCAGGCAATAAATGGTCCATATGAAAAATATCATTCAAATGATTATATAATACAAATAAAAAATTTCAAACAAACGATTTTACGTTTTATTCAATTACATTCACGAGAAGTTCTTCTTTCATCACAATGGAAGTTACTTGAAAAACATTATCCATTTCTTGTTCATGATGTTTTAGAATTTGTTGTTTTTGAAAAAATACAAGAATAAATTTTAATTTGTTTTTTTTTTTGCCAAAATTAATATAATATTGATAAAATAAAGTGTCTTTCTGATGTCTTGCAAGAATGTCGTTGGAATAGCTAGCAAAGATATCATTCCAAATGATAAATCGTTTGTTTTAGTTTTAACTCTGTATATAAGATAAAACTTAGTAAAGTTTAGCAGCTAACAAGGAGGGGGGGGGGGCGGATTCTTCAACTGATTAATCGCTTTTAAGTCAAGATTATGTAGAACCAAATGAGCTATGAATACCCTGAAAAAGAGTTTGAGCACTTAGTTTTTTCTTATGAAGGTACTATACTTTTACGGTATTTCTAAATAAATGTTGTGATGAGAGAAAAAAACTAATTTTTAAGTTTCGACTTGAAATTTTACGTAGAGACAAGCCTTAACAAGAATAGTTTCTTGTAAATGTTTTCGATCTTGTCATTGTTCCTATCTTAAGATACAGCTACAGTAAAAGAGTTAAAGCTTTCACAACAAATTATTCTCAGTAAGATCTATCTCTGTACATTTCCAGAAACATCCTGAAGTGCTGTAGCAATAGTATAGAAAACAAACAATATGTATTGTTTGAAAACATCTTTTAACTCGCGACAAAAATGCTGTTAGCTTCAAATTAGGATTTTCAATCAGTTGTAAAGTCTTTTCTTTCGTTTAACGAAGAAAGATTCATCTTTTATGAAATTTATACAAAGGTGACTTAATATATAGGAGACTCTATGATTCAATCAGATACATAATCATTAGCGTTTTAGTCATTGATAACGCTTGATTCTATCAAAATGCAACAAATACACTGACTTTGCTGATGCCGTAAGGTCACTGAATTCTCTAAAGAATAAAAATTGTATTTGCTTAGTTTATATTTTTGTTTAAAATAAAAATAATTTATTCTTCGAAAAAACTATATTGACAAAAACAAGAATGGTCATGCTTTTAGAAGAAAAAAATAATTTTATTGACACCATATATTTCAACAAATTATACTCATTTATAGGAATTAGAAAAAAAAAACTCGATCTGATTTTCATTATCAACCACCGACTTGTATTTATAATTCTGATTTTTTAACTGAAATCGATCGTACTCAAACGATCTTTATTTTATATCAATTCTTCGTCTCTAAAATTTTCATGTATCTTTTGAGAAAAGGCTATAGATATCAACGTCACTACTATTTTGTTTCAGAAGTTATCGCTCGTGTTTCTTCACCAAGTAAAAAAATAAAATAAAAAGTACAGTTTGTTGACTTTTATATGACTAACATATTAAAAAGTAAAAGAAAAAAAAAACGGCATACATTTTTTTGAAATGATGACAACCTTGTATTTATTTAACTTCATTCTTATTTTTTTCTTTACAATTGGATTAATATCTAGTTCTTCTCCTACTACTCAACAACGAATCTATTGTATTATTAAAACTTTTGGTGAAAATTTAGCAACACGAGCTTCGACAATTCATCAAACATGGGCACGTCGATGTGATAAACATAGATTTTTAACAGCAACTAATCTTACAAAATGGAATAATATATCATTACCTATTCTAAATTTATATGATGTTGGCGATAATTATCTTGAATTAAGTATTAAAGTATTTGATGCACTTAATCTTATAATTCAACAAACACAACCATATGATTTTGATTGGTTATTTATAGCTGATGATGATACATATGTTATTATGGAACATTTACGTCAATTACTTTATCATACTACTAAACCATTAGCATTTGGACATTTATTTTCACCTAAAAATGTTGCACCTAGTCATTTGAGTGGTGGTGCTGGTTATGCAATAAATACAGCTGCTCTTCAACGAATGTTACCTAATTTACAAACAAGTTGTGCACAATGGTATGTTCCAGGAATGGAAGATGTTTATGTAAGTCGATGTTTACAATATTTAAATGTATCATTGAATGGTGCTATTCATGATTATCATCATCAATTTTATCCATTAGAATTTCTTACTATGTATAAAATGGATATTCCAAAATGGTTTTCAGATTATAATACATTAAAATCTTATCAAGGTTTTGATTGTTGTTCATCACAATCGATTACTTTTCATTATATGACTAGAGAATGGATGAATTTTATCGAATGGGCACGTTATTTGCATGACAGTGAATAAAAAAAAAATGTTTACTAAACATTTTTATTAGATAAGTTTTTGTTTTCTTGTGTTCTAATAAATCAATATTTTACTGTATATATTCCTCTCTAGAACATATATATATACGAAAATTAATAATCCACTTACTTTTTTTTTTCTTGTAGCATAGGTCATCCTCGAAAGAAAAGGTGACTCTTATTAAGTTATTTTAAAATTTAATAGGACAACTACTAGTTGTAAAACTTCGGCAATTTTATTTCGTGTATCCATTCCATTTTTAGTTACCTTTATCGTAAAATAAGCCTTAGATTAATTAATTGCTTTCGAATTGGGACTATTTGCATCATGCTAACTTTAATAAGGTATACATGCCGTAAAAAAAGTTTGAGACTTTAACCTTTTTAAGGTATTTTTTAATCTGATCCCATGGTTCTCTTCGAGAGAATACCAGGAATACTCATTTTCAAATTTGGACTTGAAACTTTGCACAGATGCAAACTTTAATGAGACTAATCTATTGTGAAAACTTTAGGTCTTTTAATTTGCTTCTATCTTAAAATAAGAACATCGAATCCACGGGTGATAGATATATGAGTGATGTAAGAAAAAAAACAGTTCTATTATAACTATATCTTACGATAAGAACAATTCAAAAGACGTGCAACTCTAACAATAAACAATATAAGGCTCGTTGGGTTCTAAATGATATGCATACTCCTGATTCATAATCGATTAATCAATCGGAGGACTTTTCTTGTGTATTCTTATGAACACTATAAAATTCTAGATATATAAAGATAAGTCTCTTAATTAACATCAGTCATTATAATAATGTATAAGACCAAAAAGAAATCTGAAAATCAAATTGAATTTTATAAGCGATCACATTTAGTCATAGACTACTATCAATAAAGTAAAAAAAAAACATTTATATATGATTTTTTTTTGTCTTCACTAGAGTATATACTCATTATATCACACACATACATCGACAAAACACATAAAGCCATTGAGAGTTTATCAACTACTGTTTGTATTCAAATGATTTGTTATATGAACGCAAAATATTTTTTAGAGCAACTCTATATGAAATCTCATAAGGAACTCTCCATATAGATAATACAGCGATAGGTCACGAACTTCTAACATCAAATAATGTGAATTACGCTTAACACAATGTTTTTTTGCCTAACAATCGAAGTTTTGAGAAAAATGACATTTGGTATTGTCGTCTTTACACAATGTAAAACATATGATGGGAAATATATGCTTATCATTCATTCAACAAATCAATATTTATTTAATGAACAATTATAAAAACCGGTGAGAAACATCATCTGATACAATGAAATTATTCACAATAAAGTTATTTTATGTTTGTTTTAATTCATTTTCTATTGTAATTTTTGTCGAACCTACCCAAGTACAAACGATGTTAGGATGAATTGAGTTTTATTCAATGTTTGAAAAAAATCAAATGATTTTTTTATTTCAAAAACAAAATATCTCATACGTTTTATTTACCAAATATAAAAGCAAATTTCATGAATATATTTGTCCACTAAGAATAAATAAACTAATATATTTGAAATCATCTGAAAATTTCTTATTGACTTATCTTAGTTTTTTTTTCTTCTTCAAATATTTATTATTGGCGTTTTATTTTAATGTTTTTCTCTAACGCCCTGATACTATTGTATTTTAGAAAATAATAAGCACGTGATAAAGAAATAATATGTTTGGATATTTTATTTTTGTCATACTCATGAATATATTCGTTGCATACAACAATTAAGCAGGGGAGGGAGAAGAAAAAAGAACAAATATTTTTTTCTTCAAGTATGATTTTATCGAGAACGCAATCAAACAAATATGCTTTATCCTTTTCTTTGATTTTGATTATTTATTCACCAATGTTTGCTACTACTACCATTTTTCTCTCTTGGTCGTCGTGATGGTTATAGTCAGAAATGTCCCGAGTAGGAGGTAACATTAATCTTGAAAAATTTTCGTTTTCGATTCAGCAAAGATTACAGTGTTTTATTATTTGTTTCGCTTCACCAATTTCAAAATAAGCAACGTTCGACTCGCCTCCTCAATGTTGGTGACGTCGAGACACCAATTAGTATAAATACGCATATTTATTAGATTATTAAGATCAATTTTTCGAACAGTTACTCAGTACAGAACATGATTATTATTTGGTCAAAATATTTTTTTACTAAATAATAGAACTGTTAGTACACTATCTTTTATGACTCGTGTTCCTTTTTTTAGTAACTAAAGCCGCAAACAGTTGAATACCAATTTGACTGTACGAATTCATCTTAAATTCTATGTTATAATGATCGTTTTTTTGACTAATTGTAAATGAATAGTCAGTGCATCATATAAGGTCTCACTTCATGTACGATTGATTTTGTCTAAATCGAGATTTCAAGGTTCGTCTTGTTCCTAATTACTGATACTTTCGTGAATTAAAAAGTCTATATGCTACATAATAAGACTTCTTTTTCTCTATTTAACACATAAAAGTGTGTTGAGTATTTTCTAATATGTATCGATTTCATCCTTTGACTTTTTTTTTGCATGTAATGCTATATAAATATTTGATATGTCACGACATCTATCGTAAAAAGAATCTACGGATAGGTTTCTATTGGGTGCAGGAATCCGAATTCATGGCTATTATGGATTGGCTGCAAGGTGTTTACGACGCAATGATGTTCTTTTTCATCACACTGTACTGCACTTTAAATACGTACTCATTCTGCCATCATATATCTATAAAAAACAAAAACAATAGGCTTATACTAAAAAAATTAGTTTTTATATCCATTTGAATAACATAATCATTTTTTTCAAGATTATATCAACTCAATAATCTAAAACATTAGTATTATTCATCTTTTTTCATTTCAATTTCGTTGATTGTGAGTATTGTATAAATGAATATTATCTTTGTATATATCTATATATGTCTTTTGATAGATAATGGATGGAGCAGGTGGTAATCCAGGAAGTGGTGGATTTGATCCATGTGAATGCATTGTAAGAATTTAAAATGTTTTTTTTTTCCTAAATTTTAATTTTTCTAATTTATTAGAATATGCTTCAAATGAATCATGAACGTGCTATGAATCGTTTAACTGATATGCTTCGTAATGCACAAACAACATGTACTGATACAGAATGTTTTACTGGTCCATGTAAGATTGATAGGAAATTTATTTTTCGAAAATATTCTTTTATTTATGTTTAGTACCAGGTCTACAAAATACTGGTGGTGGTAATACAGGAATGACAAACATATATTTTATGTTAGCTATATGGTTTGCTATTGCTCTTTTACTTTTTCTTTTTCGACCACGTACTCTTCGCAATAATCGTGAAACTCTTGGAAAACGAAACAATCAAGTAAGAATTAATAGTGTTTATTTATTTTAATTTTTTCTTCTTTCTTCTAGGGTCCACCTTCTAATGACCAAGATCCTCCAGGACCACAAGTACAATAGATAATCAATGGTCAATAAAATGTAACATATATTTTTCAAAATCATATTTGTTTTGTTTTTTTTTTGTAAATTTAAATCGATGGGATGAAATATATTTGTTTTATTTGTATACTTTATTTGCGCTTATTTTTGGATCGACTGAAAAATATTCGAACACCGAGTACTATAAATTGTATCTATCTATCTATCTATCTATCGATATATATAGATATGTATTAGGATTCTTCATAAACAGGCTTTATTAAAGTGATAAAAAAAAAAAGATTGGTCTAGGGTAAACAAAGTTGTTCTTTTTTTTTGTATGAATACATATATTTTTCTTTTCTTTTATGTAATTATTTTATTCGTGTTTACGAACAGTGGGTTGTATTATGAGATTCCACGATCTTTTTTTTATTCTTCACTTAATAAACTATCATTTAAATATATATATATATATATATGTGTGTGTATGTGTGATAGAGGTATTCACAGGATGATTTTTTCGCATCTTGCCTTGCCCTGTTGAAGTGACATATACTGTCTTGATCATAATTTCCAATCGGGTTCAAAAGCAAAAATGTTTTCTTATCATATCATAAAGCATTCTTTAATTTAAACCAATTTTACAATAATACTAATTTATAGTTCAACTAATAAAATACATGAGTATTAACATAAAAGAAAGAAATAAAGACAAAGTAAGATAATTATCATGAGTAAGAAACAAATCAACAAAAAAAAAAACGACCATTAATTTTTTTATAGAAATATTTTTTTCTACTGACTATACTAATAAAATGTTTTCTAATTTACTTTCACTTAAGATTCAACCAATAGTAGAAAATTTTCTTTCTATTTTAGTTGTTGTTGCTGCAAGATTATATAGAATAGATCGAGCATGTTTCGAAAGAAAAACAAATTTATTTTGATGATTTTTTTCAAAATTGTAAAGTTTCTATTTTCTTTTTTGTTTATTCTTATCGAATTCAAACAATAAATATTGATCAAGTTCATGGCTTTTTCTTAAATCATATTCGAAGCATGTAAAAATACTTCTTTCGTTCTTAAGTTTTTTTTTGGCGATTCTAATGATTCTTTTGTAAAGTATACCGATCTCACCTTGTCTTGATTCAGAACAAGGCAGGATTATCCTGTTCTGTAGACACCTCTTTTGCTAGTGATGAATATAAATGATCATTGAAAGTCAAGGAGTTGACAAAGAATGATATCATTGATTTTAAATAATCATTACATCTATTATCAAACGTCTTACAAAAATACAGTTGTCTGTATATGGAATATTTGCTTGTTGTCCTTACATTAGGAAATTTGCGTAGAAGAATAAATAACGTCGATGTCTTTTTTTCTTGTGTTTATAACCATCTTCAACAAGAAGAAGCAAAAGAGGAAAAAAACAGAAATATCTTGTTTTTGTCGATATCAATATACTGTTTGGGTGTTTTTTTCTTGCTAACATAACAAGACAAAAACTGGGGAGAGATAGAATGGATAACTCTGTTCCTTTTCCTTTCTTTTTCTTCTACTGATAATTGTTATTTTATGAATTGTCACAAGAAAAAAAAAATAAGACAGTTACAGTGACGTAGATTGCCAAGTGCCTCCGCCTTTTCGATAGCAAGCAATATATACGATTTCTTTTCATCTATTTCTTGTACATCGCACAATTTGAATCATATTTAACTTGACTAGAGTAAAAGCTCTGTAAGTTTAATTTTGTAAGTTCTTTGTCAAGAATAATGAAATTCGTATATAGATCATGGATATTTTTAAATTATTTTAGCATAAACTTAGAATCACTAGTATTAGAGTTTAAGTGTTTGTTGTTCTACAATATATATGTATATACACTCCAGTTCGTTTCTTTCTTGTGTCCTATAATATACATCACTCGATGGTTGTTTATTCCTGGAGCGTTATCCTTTCAATCTAACTCAATAATAATTGAGTTGATATAGCTTCAATTATCCTGATCATTTGCGTCGCTAATATTATAGCAGTAAAAGTACTAAATAAATACATTGTCATAAATTTGAATAGTAGGAATACATTTAAAATTGATTTCTGAATAGGTCTGTGACAGCTCGAGATCACGAAACTGAATTAGTATCACTCATACAGTTTTGTTGAGAAAAGAACCTGTACTGGTAACCAGTGCTTTTTTTGACAAGTGTAATAAGTACTGAATAGAATTGTTATATTATCGTTATCAGTACACTGAGTCCATGTACAAAAGAATTGGTCACGGGACCGAATTCTCCAAAAAATAATCAGTTGTTAGAAATGTCAGCTGTCACAAATCTATTTCTGAATACTCTAATAAATGTTGATATTCTTTAGTTTAAATAAATACAATAATGAGCGGCAAAAATGGTAAGAAAAATCACTACAATTTTCTATTTTTTTCTAAAGTTTTGTTTTCTGTAAATTTAGTTCGGGGTATGACTAAAAATAGCTGTTTAAATTATTTTAACATTTTCTATTTAATGCCAAGGAGGTGCTCGTGCTGCTGGCAGTTCAAAAGCAGCATTTGCTATGTTTCAACAAAAAGATGTAGCCGCTGGTGGAACAGGAAAAGTCACTAGGTAGTTATTTAATAGAAAATCATATAAGTTTATATTTCAAAAATAATCTATAGTGAAACTTCTGGTGCACCAACAAATCCAGCAAGTATCAAAGATCGTCTTCTTGTTTGGTGTCAACAATCTACGAAAGGTTATAAGGTAAATTAGGTTGTTTTTTTGTCTTATAATGAGTCTTTTTTTTTGAATATTCAATGTGTTAAGCATGTTAATGTAACAAATTTTTCATCATCTTGGGCTGATGGTATGGCATTTTGTGCTTTGGTTCATCATTATTTACCGAATTCAATAAATTATGATGCACTCAATCCAAAAGATAGACGAAAAAATTTTGAAATAGCATTTAAAGCTGCTGAGTAAGTTAAGAAACTTGTTTTTTTTTTCTTTAAAAATAAAAAAAAATATCATTTTCAATAGAGATAATGGATGTGCACCATTACTTGATGTCAATGATATGATTGAAATGGGTGATAAACCCGATTGGAAATGTGTATTTACTTATATTCAATCACTTTATAAACATTTTGTCATGATGCCGGAAGCAATGGCAGCTAGAGCAGCAGCACAAGCTGGTCAGAAATAAAAGTAGACAGAAAAAAAGTACACACACATATGAACATCTCGCTTTTTTCTCATTGTATCTTAATTCATTCGTCTCATTTTATTCAATAAAAGTTTCTATGATAGTATGCAAGCACAGGCACTATGTGGTTTGATTTTTTCTAAATGATAATGTTGTTCATATTGTAAATGTTTGATTGCTGTATAAATTGCATCACCAATACCAACATTTCCTTTAACACTTATATCGAATACATCAAAACCATTTGATTTTAATTTATCGATAGATTCTTGACTAACAGCACGATCTTGTTCAAGATCAATTTTATTTGCTATAAGTATAGTTGGTATTGACATTAATTGATTAGGAAATTTTAAACGAATAGTTTCTTGAAAATAATTTAATTTCGAAAAACTTCTTTGATCTGTTATAGAAAATACTACAAAACATGCTGTTGGAATTGCATCAGAAAATTTTATTTTTTGAATATCATATATTGTTGATATATCAAAAAATATTAAAGTACAATCATTACCATCAATTACAGTTTGATATACAGTTGAACCATCGATATTAATATGAGAACGACTATGACAAGGAAATTCATTTCGAACATAACGTGCAATAAGAGAAGTCTTTCCTACTGCTGTATCACCAATGACTAAAATACTAAAAATAAGACGACGACAACAGGCATAATTATCTGTATGAATTTTGTTTTTATGCATACCGATATTCTAATGAACGTTGTATATGACGTTTTGGCATATTGTCATATATAAAAATTTATTATTACTTCTTTTGTCTATCGACACAAAATGTGACGAGTTGTGTTTTTTTTTCTTTTTTTAGAGATGTGTAACGAAATATTGAATATTTACTCAAAAAGAATGTGACGAAAAAGAACACTTAAGCGACTCGACAACGTAAAATAAATTAACAAAGAAATGCATGTGTTTTTTTTCTTTGTTATTGATCCTAAATAAATAAAAAAAAAAACTTTTAAGATTTATAACAATAACTATTGGCAGATTATAAGAAAACATAATTAGTAATATTTATTGATTAGAAAAACGAGAAAAAAAAAAGAAAAGAACTCAATATTCATGTTATCTACCTATCAACACACGACACTCGTGATCTCATATATATCATATTATTCCGAAAGATAACATTTCAGATGTAGGCTTTAGTTGGTTTAGATACAATAATGAAATTTTAAAAGTAGTACAAGAAAAAAATCTAAAGATCAAATTCCTTATGCAGATATCTGTAGATGATAATTATTTAGTCTTATTTCGACAGAAAAGTACAAATAACGATTGGAACAAAATATCGAGACATAAAACAGAGTTAAGATTCAAGCAAATCGATATTCGAGACAAAAAGTCTTTTTGTTGATATAGTGAAATAGTTTGATAGAGTTCCTTAAATTACCTATAAAATATTTTTAAAAATATATTTAGACCGATTATTGTTTAAAAAATAATTCGAAAGCATCATAAGTTTTTCCGGAAATTGTTTTGAAATATGGCTGATATATTGCATTTTTTTTTTGTATTTATCATTGACTTTATCGTCAAAAATATACTATTCTGAATTTCTAGAAAGGTTGAATGTCGTAAAAGACAATTTAATACGATTAGAAAATGAAATGGCTTAACGATCAATCCAAGAATGAATAATAATTATAAACAGGTCTGATTAGCCTTCTAGACATCAACTCTTCATAGATACATATTTGAATGATAACCAGCATATGTATGCCAAAAGAACTATCCATGAATTTTGGATAAGGTCCTTCTTTTTTTTTTCTTGAGAAAATAGAATTTTTTCCGATATCACTGGTAAAATCATACTAAACTGTTGCGCTTGTATTCAACAGTTTTTATTATCATATCTCAATTTGAGAACAAAACAAATAGTATATTCAGAATCAACGCAAAAAACTATATCTGAACTCATATTTTGATAAAATGAATTTTTTATACAAAACTTGTCTGTGTTTCCCATCAGCAGTTTTTTGTCGAAATTCCATTTAGGTTTTTGCATTGATGTTAAGTATGCTATTTATTTTATTCTCAAACGGAGATATGATAATATAAACTACTGGATACGAGCACAACAGTTTTGTATGGTTTTGCTAGTAATGTCGGAAAATAGTCAATTTTCTCAAGAAAAAAAGAAGCTTATCTAAAAACTATGTCTAATTTTTTTTAGCATTTGTATGCCGATTATAAGTAAATAAAAAGAATCATTCAAATATGGATCTATGAAGAGTTGATCTGTATCGAGGGTGCCATATCCGTCTATAACTCTAATCATGTTCAGACTGATCATTAAGCCGTTCTATCTTCTAATCCCGTTAAGTTATCTTTGTCTACATCCAGTCTTTCTGGAAATTCAGAATAAAATATTTTGAGAAGACGAAATCAATGATAAACATTATCGCTTTAAATCCATATTCGAAGAAGTACTGTTTTCAATGTATTCTTTTTTAAAATCGGTCCGAAAATATTAAAACCTAGCATCTATTTGGGTAAGTCGATGAGTTCTATCAAACAATGCCATAATATCAATCATTGAAAAAAAAAGTAAATTTCGACTTCCAGACACCTTATAACCGGACTGACCGATCTTTATCAATTAGAATACAAGTAGCGCGACGTTAGCGCCGCTAATCCTCTACTGAAAGAATATGGTCGCGTTAAACACAACAATTCGATGTGCCTGCCTGAGAAATTTTGTGTAGTGATTGTGTGCGAGACATTGTGACGAGAGAGAGAAACGATGAGCATGCAAAAAGTAGAAAATCTGTTGGCATATATCATCAAGAAATATGTGCTTAAGTACTATCTGTCTATACTGCATAACTAGACCGAGTTTGGGTTTTTTCCACCAGATCAACATCGGGGAATGCTGACAGACCGTTTGATCGGCTGAATAACAGAATGACGAAAAATAGACACTTACGACAGCTATCATCCTAATGCTTTATGTCACCAGCGATACCACTCAAGATATTCATGAGACTAGTCACTTAACATGAATCTACATGAATACATATAAATATGTCAGTATACATGTGCAGAGCCAGAAAAACCTAACACTTATTCTGTTTCATGAAACATTCCATCAATCAAGAATATCGAAATAGATTAAGAGATTGTTTTCTCAATTTAAAACTCAAATGTTTTACACCTGCAACGCGTTGGTTCCTCAATGTTGCTTTGGAAAAAATTTCAACTTTCCGCTACTGTTAGGCATTGTTTCAACATTTTCAACTCAGCTAGTAAGTAATCATGATATTGGTCTTCATAGACTGTACTGCAAATTTAAACAAACGTCCGTAATGAGCGGCTAGTCATTTGTCGGCGCCACTCACGGCTTGCTGCTTCCAAATTAAAGTTGATTTATAGTCTCCATCGTTCTGTTTTAGCTAGGAACTGCATGATTCAGCTTTCGCTCAATTAGCAAATATGTCCGATTAAAATCAAAGACGTTTTCAAAAAAAAAAACTGCAAATCAACAGTTGCCAGGTTTATCTTCACTGGAATTTAACTGCACCTATCAATAACTTTGTGACCACTTTCAGATAAATGTCACAAGTTTGCTGAATATATAGAAAATGTGAGAACAGCTGTAAAGTGGCGAAAAAACTTTAAGGCAGCTTTTTTCTGTCAAAGACCACTTGCAATGGATGTCCAAATAGCGATTTTGATAGTTCTCGGAATGAGCTACAGATCTATCATATCAATAACATCAACAGTGAGCCGGTTCAGTTTTTATGACAGAAATTGTTTTTGTCTGTCGAAAAAAACTTTAAGGTACTTTTTGTGTTTTATCCATTTACCGCTGCCGAAAGATAGAAAACATTTCAAAAATATATCATTGGATCGATAATTGAACGGACTACATTTTGGTATAAATATTTTCGAAAAATAATTGGTTATAATAATTAATTAACTATTAATTATTATTGATCGTTATTAATCAACGGTTATAGAAAACTTTTGCCATAATTGTCTGCTTTGAAGGATACCATAAGAAAGGGCATTGAAGACTAAACAAAACTGTGTGCTTTTGGATTTGCAACAAGCGATCTTAATGGGATTCTTTACGCACTATTTTAGAATTTAATTAAAACTGTATTAATAATTCAGAAAATTCAGCTTTAATCAGAAGTTTCAAAACTCTCAAAAACAGGGTATTTTGTAGAGCAGAGTTTGTGTCTATCGAACGAGACCTAGCGGCTTTTTTTACAATGTGTTATTACTGTGATACAGCGCGTTGAAAATTGTTTCGCAAAAAACAAGGCAAAAAGTAGGTTCAAATCGTAGCTGAAATTACCGATACAAATTGGAAATATTTTCCAACTTCAAGATTGCACCGTAACAAAAGCCGCTAGGTTTCATTCGATAGAGCAAACTCTGCTCTACAGAATACCCTGTTTTTCAGAGTTTTGAAACTTCTGATTAAAGCTGAATTTTCTGAATTATTAATACAGTTTTAATTAAATTCTAAAAGAGTCCTTGAAGAATCCCATTAAGATCGCTTGTTGCAAATCCAAAAGCACACAGTTTTGTTTAGTTTTCAATGCCCTTTCTTATGGTGTCCTTCAAAACAGACAATTATTGCAAAAGTTTTCTATAACTGTTAATTAATAACAATCAATAATAATTAATAGTTAATTAATTATTATAACCAATTATTTTTCGAAAATATTTATTCCAAAATGTAGTCCGTTCAATTATCGATCCAATGATATATTTTTGAAACGTTTTCTATCTTTCGACAGCAGCAAATGGATAAAACACCAAAAAGTACCTTAAAGTTTTTTTCGACAGACAAAAACAATTTCTGTCATAAAAACTGAACCGGCGGACCGTTGATGTTTTCGATATGATAGATTTGCAGCTCGTTTCGAGAGTTATGAAAATCGCTATTTGAACATCCATTGCAAGTGGTCTTTGACGGAAACAACGGAAAAAAAGGTGTCTTAAACTTTTTTTCACCACTTT